ATATATATGTATTTATAATATTAATTAATTTATTATATTATCATGTTAATTTTCTAACTTATATCTTAAATTTGTTGATTAAGCAGCTGGCATTTGAGATTGGCGCCAGTCGAAGGCATTTTGTCATGGAAGTAACATGTAAGGTACATCGTGCCTTCCAATATTTTGTAGGATCAAAATACATTAATCATGCTGGTGGCCATATTAGTCCTATAGTCCCTGAGTTGATAAGACCCATTGTCAAATAAGAGCATTGGGATACTTTTGTTGCTAGGTACCTTGACAAATCATTTTTGGTAAGGATCATGATATTTTGTGCAATAATTTTATATGAATTGATCACTAAAATCATGGTACTTTTTATTTTTTAGGAACTGAGCCAAAAGAATAAAGATTTAAGGGCAAAAAATCTTTTTCCCTTCTTAAAAGGGTGCTTAGGGTATTCAAGGATCGAGCAACAAGTGGTATGTTTTGAATTTATTAATTAATATGTAATATGTGATGTCACTAATGTATTTTAATGCATAGATTGAGAAAGAGGGCACACCAAAGAGCTCTATATCACGGGCTAGACTCTTTATATTAGGTTAGATTGATAAAGATGGCAACTATGTGGGTGAACATGTTTGAGAACTTACTGAAAAAGTTGTAAGTATTTTCATTCTCAACTTTGAATAACATGCTAATAATTGATGTTTTAATAACTTGTATTTTTCAAATTATGATGAATAGAGTGTCATCTTAAAAGAAGTTTCTAAAGGCAAACTTCCCCAAGATGAAGATGTCTTAGAAAAGGCATTGGGGAATCGTGATCACCTGGGTCGTGTTAGAGGAGTTGGCATAGGGGTATCAAGGAAACAAATAGTAGGGAAAAAAAGACTCCAAAAGATGTGCCTTCTTCAGCTAAATTTAATGCTCTAAAATAACAAGTAGAAGCGTAACAAAAAATGATCGAGGCACTGCTTAAGGCTAATGATTTTAGGAAGTCGCCCTTTGAGCACATAAGTCCCAGTAAGATAGATAGTTGCATTGTGGCCAAGCCATCTGGTCAAATTCTTGAGATATATATTATTTTTATTCCTTAACTTTGGTTGACCATTATTTTATTAACTTACACTTATTTTTATTTAGGACGAGCACAATTGCTTTTTTGTGGCAAATAACCCTGGTAGACATAAAGTGGCAAGAGGCCGTGTGTTTAATATCCTTGGAAAAAATACCATACACAATGTGCTGATGCCTGCAAACTATTTATGAAGGTTGATTCTTAAACCCATTGATGCCAACTACCTATTGTCCATTCCAACCTTAGATGCATTTACTGTTAGAGAAGCAAGTGACAACTTTATTGCATAGCCCAAGGTTTGCTTCTGTGTAGAAGATAAAACACAAAATTAACAGGTATGCTAGTTACCTTTTTATATATATGTCACATAATTGGTTTCTAACTATATAATTGATGCACAATCTAAGGGGAAGGGCATCACTAGACAATTGGGCCAATTATCCAAGGTTGAGACAGCCGTGCCAAACTAATTTCCAAAAACCTACTAGAAAACACTTGAGGCATATGTAAAGTTGTTTGTTGATTCTACAATACTTATCAACTTTTACTAAAGCATATACGACAGAGAACAATACGATGTGGTTAGTGTTGAAATGGTCAACGAAGTCCTCAAGCGAGTTTCAATTAGCCAAAAACATGGTTCATTTTTATATGAGGTACATATTATTTATATGACTTTTTATTATATTTTAAAATTAATATAATATAATAATTTGTTTATTTTTTTTATTTAGGTACCTATATGAAAATTTTATCATCCCTCGTGATCTTGCATCAAAATTTATCTTTGTCTATCCTCATGATGTCTTTGCTCATCGCAATATCACCATCGAGGTGCGGTGTAGCCAAGCTCAAACATCCTCCTAGTGCTTGGGGTGGATCTTGTTTATGGCCCCATATACACGAAATTTCCATTTTTGCCCTCATTGTGAAATAATAATAGTAAAATCAGAAGCTAAAGTAAGTTTCTCTGCCTCTTTCTCCATGTCTTTCCGTTTGAGAATTCTCCAAAAACCTTCGTCCTCTGCATTCATTCTCTGTTCCCAGTTCATCGCCGACGTTAGTGATTAAAGGAGCTTCGCCCATCGCCGTCGAGTCTTCTCCTACTTCCCCAATTTCTTCTTCTTCGTCAAGTTGTTATTGGAGTCAGGGAGAGGGTCAAAAATCTCCCCCTTTCCATTTCTTTTGGCAATGGCTATGACTGGGAGAGCTACCGTAATATTGCTATTAGATCGTCCTCAAGCAGTACTGTTGCTCTGTCGCCTGTCACTTTGTGTCGTCGCTATTCTAGTGGCTGTGGGGTGCTTTATTTCTTCTCCTCCTCTTGCACAATCTTCTCCGTCTTCATGCCTGTTATCGTGGGCAAAGGTAAGGATTTTCGATTTTTTTCTCTTGTTTTGTTGATTTGATTCAGTGGTGTGTGCATCTGTGATGTTGAAGTTGCAAATTTTATTATATTGTTGCTATTGCTGTTGCTGTTTGTGGTTGTGCAAGGAGGGGGGATGAGTCAATCTGAAATTTAAATGTTAAGAGAAATATGATAATTGATAGATTTGATTTTTGTGAGTTTAAGATTGAGATATGGTGAAGGAATGCTATTGAGAAGCTCTATTAATTTAAATACTAATATTGGAGAATTATGGAACAAGGGTAAGGATGAGATTGGGAGTAAAGAGCTAGACTTAAAACTTGAAGATTAATACTCATGTGATGTTCGAAAAAATGCCTGTTAAGAGAATTTTTCTTGATTATATATTTAATGAAATTTTATTAATTATGGTGAGAAGCATAATTGATTGAAATACTATTTAGTTGAGTTTTAACTTGAACATTGCAAAGAACTCAATTTTAAAATTATTGTATGGTTAGTTAAATTTTTAAAAGTTTTATGTTAGATAATTTATAACAATGGTATTGTTTTATTGTTTAGTTTTGAGAATACAATTAATGTGTTTGATAAAATGGGTGAATGAAATATGATGAATTTAATCATAGGTGATGATTGTGAACTATATTATTGTTTTATGACTTTGGGATGTACTTAAGGTATTTAATAAAGTGGGTAATAGACAAATTGTGAATTGATGGAGTATTTGTTGGTGGTGCTACACACTGATGATTAATAATTAACTATGGGGGTAAAGCTTTGTGAGATAATGATGATGTTGGGAGGAGGTTTGTTTAACTTGTTGAAAGGATTATTGTTATAGGGTATTTAGAAGAAGAAAAACTCAATTGAAGATATGTAGATAACGTCCCAATCAATATATATTAGAAATTTTTTGTTATCAAAAGATTTTTTTTAATAATTTATGAATATTTATATATTTCTCTTGCTTTAGCTACTTTTGTTAATTAAAGTACTCTACTTCTTGATGTCATAACCTGTACTTTTTATATTGATGAAAATGCTTTTACAAATTCCAGTAACTCTGAAAATTGGTTAACAATTTGAGATATTATTTATAAATTTTTATATTCAGATAAATCGATATTTTTATATGTTTCATGCGAGTTTGATATTTGGAAGAGAAATTATATTTTTAAAAGTGATGATTTTCTCGCATGTTTAAAAGTGGATTTAAAAGGGACTGTATACAGAACACTGGTTGCTAATAGCAATTTCGTTAGCTCTTGGCACGCATAGTAAATTACTAGCTAGTTTGATTTTCATGAATTTTGTTCTCACATCTGTTATTCGTGGGTCTTGTACCTGCGTCTGTTTCATGGCTTCAGTTGCATCTGGTTATTTACCCTCGTGAATTGTGTGTCAACATCTATTTCATGGCTTTGCCTGCGTCTGGTTACTTACCCTTGTGGACTGTGTGTCCACATTTGTTTTTGTGGCATACATCGTGTTTAGTTATTTACCTTTATGGACAGCGTATCCACATTTGTTATTTGTTCTAATAAGTCCCTTTAGTTATGAGTTTTTAAATTTTTATAGATCTATTTTTTATTGGTTTTGATTAATGACATATGTACAATTATTTATTGCAATTATTTGCTTTATTGAAGTTAAATGATAATGATATTTGATATGATACTTTAATGAATTATGATTTTAGTTAAAGTAACATAGAATCCTGTTATTTCAAATTTATTCAAATCTTCATGGAAATCGTTGTGTTTTTAACTTTCTTTTTATTCATGTTAAATTATTTATTATTGAGATGTTATTTACTAAAAACATTTTAATTTCAGATAACATAGCTGATGATATACCTTCTGCTAACCTCTGAGAGCTCATTGCTAAATTGATTAGAAGATTATTTGAGGACACCTTTCATTTGATATAAATGTTTAATTGTGCATTATATTTTGAAATTATAATTAAATGCTCTATGTTAACTATAGATAGAATCCTGATCTGCTATCTATTTGCCTGCCTATTGTGGAAGAGTAGAACTCCGTATTCTGGATTTGGACTATCTGTTGTTAAAATATTGGGAAGTCCTATTTATGGAGGAAGTTTTGTCGAAATTTTAACAGAAAGTTTAAGAATCTTTTATTTATATGAAAATGTTATAATGATTTTCCATCCTATGTCAAATGAATTAAAATATTAGATTAAAGTTCTCTTGATCAAAGCTTAAGAGATGTATGTTTGTGTATATATATCTCATGCCAATCATGTTTAATTTTTGGGATATAACAGTTCTAGTCATAACCATCCAATATATGAATATATTGGGTGGTTCTTAAAATAACCGTTTAATATATTTTTCCCTGCACAACCCATTCGAAACTATATTAGACGGGTCTTTGAACCGTCCAATATATAATATTGGATGGTTTTAATAACCGTTCAATATTTGTTTTATTAATATACGACGGTCTCATATTGGATGGTTTAAAGTTTCTTTTTCTATAATAGTGTGAAGACCTACCTGTTATATTTCCTTATTTAAATTCAAAATTTGTCATAATTATATCAGGGTATCGCACCCATTCCTCTTCTTCCATCTCTTCTCTTTAACCCAAAGAACTCATAGATCAAGAATGATAGGCGTGAATTTGAAAAATACCCAAGTAACTTCACTACGTTACGATGTTTGATTTCAGTCAATGCTTGAATTTCACTTGGAAACACTTTTAGATTGGAGAGATATGTATTACAATGTGGATGAAGTTTCTTCACAGCAAAAAATTGACCTTCAAGTAACTCAGCCTTGTAAACACTACCTTGTGCTCCCACCCCAATGAGATACTTGTCATTAAAATCTTCCGTTGCTTCAATAACTTTTTCATGCAAAATTCTCCCATCAAAATGCCAAATGGAGAAAAAATTTAGATTTAGTGCTTCTCCATCTTGGCTTTTGGTTTGCTTTGACTTTTGAACCACAATACAAGAAATTCCACCTGCTATTAGTACTAAAGCTGCAAAACATAGTAGTAATGACATCAATAGCTTCACTATTTGATTCATATGACCGTGTTGGTTATTGATACTTCTATTGCAATGCTCCAACCTAGTAACATTACCACATAAACTAGTGTTATTCCTTACTGCCTCAAATGTAATGCTTTGAAAGGCAGGAATGTTCGGAAGAGGTCCTTCTAAATGGTTGTATGATATGTCAACAAATGTCAAGCTTGACATGTCATCAAAATTGGATGGAATGGTTCCAAAGAGGCTGTTATGCGAAATGTTCAAAATTCGTAGCATCTTTAGTGCTCCAAGTGTTCTGGGTATTCTTCCCCTCAACATATTCTCACTAAGATCAAGTTCTTGCAATGCCTGCAACCGACCAAACTCAATGGGAATGCTTCCTTCGAATTTATTTTTGCTCAAGTTTAAGAGCCATAACCTATAAAATCCTCCAAGCTCTTTGGGGATTGAGCCAGTAAATTTATTTGCTACCAACTCCAATTCTTCAAGTTGATTTAGTGATCCTATTTCTATTGGAATCTTGCCTGAAAATTGATTGTTTCTCAAAGAAAGTCTAGTCAATGAGACCATCTTGCCCAATTCCTTTGGAATTTCTCCTATCAACTGATTTGAAGAGACATTAAATTCCCCAAGATTGGTTGCCTCTCCAAGTTCTGGAGGTATACTACCAGACAGATTGTTGTTGGAAATCCTAAGTGAAGTAAGATTATGACACTTTCCCCACTTTGATGAAATGCGGCCATAAATTTTATTGCCACTCAAATCAATGTATTTCAAACTTGGGTACACACCAAAGTCACTTGTTATATTTCCAACCAATTGGTTGTTATCAAGTCTAAGTCTGATAAGGCTAGAGCAATTCTTCAGGGTTTTTGGAATTGGACCAGTGAATTTATTTGCACGTGCAGTGAAATGTTCAAGTGATCCCCCAAGGCAAACCTGTTGTGGCAAATGGCCAGTGAATTCATTATCACTCAGCTCTAAAATTTCCCATTTAGTAAGGTTATTCATCTCTATTGGAATGCTACCATTCAATTTGTTTATGTTCAAAAATAAGACGTTGAGCCGTGTTAGATTTCCTATGGCAGCTGGAATAGGCCCAGAAAGAGTGTTGTTTCCAAGTTTGAGGTCTTCTAATTTGACCAAGTTTCCCAAAGAGGATGGAATTGGCTCATACAAGTTGTTATTTGACAGGTGCAAACTAATGAGAGAATATAGATTCCCAAATTCAAAAGGAATAGGACCTGACAAATTAGATCGAAAGAGGGAAAGATATTGTAGTTTGGTCAAATTTCCTATTGCAGGAGGGATTCTTCCATTTAAGAAAGTGTTTCTTTGCAAGGCAAGCACTATGAGATTACTCAGCATTCCAATCTCGTCTGGAATTTTCCCTGTGAGATTATTCACACTAATAGAAAGCATGTTCAGAGTAGTCAACGCTCCTATTTCTCGAGGGACAGAACCACTCAAGAAATTATGACTCATATTGAGCGTATGAATACTAGACAAATTACTGAGTTGGCTAGGAATAATTCCTGCAAACTCGTTCTGACTGATGTCTAGGGCTTGGAGTTTATTAAATGATGAGAAGTTGAGACTGTAAAGTGTACCTTGTATCCCCAATCTTGTAAGATTTATGGTGGAGATAGACATGGATTCATCGCATGTAATTCCTTTCCAGTTTCTGCAAGGATCTGTTCCATTCCAAGAAGACAAGGTAGATTGACTTTGATTCTCAAGGGTAGATTTCCACTTTAAAAGAGCATTTGCTTCATCACCACCAGCTGCGATGGATGAAGAGAACAGCAAAGAAGTGCAGATGAAGAATATGGAGATAATCAGCCGTTGTGGTACAAGTGATGAAAGAGTTGAATCAACCTTTCTAAACTTGAACACCATGACTTGGCTTTACCTTCTAAACGTACGTTCGTTGAATAGAACTGAAATCACAGAGAAGAGTACTAATGCGTGTGTGGCTGGTGAGTTGGGTTGGGTGGTCCGTGGATGACGGGGAAAAAATGTCGGTAAAATTCTCCATTGCATGGCAGAAGACAAGTCGTTACGGCTGGTCAGAAGAAGAAGAAGAAGAAAAGTCGCTATGGTGACATTAGTGGCAGCAGGTTCTTCTTCCCTTTGTTTTCTCTTTTTTTGTTAATAACAAAGATTTTCGGTGAGTTAGATCTTTAAAACTTTATATAATAAAGTATGTCTTCAAGTTTAAAAAACAATTATAAAGGTAATTATAAATTACTCACCAAACAAGATTCTCATGCTAGTAATGAAATTTAATCTCACAATTTTATAGAGTATGAATCAAATCTTCATTAATTAAATTTATTTTTGTTAATTTTTTTCCTTTCATTAATTTCTTCTCTATTTAAACAACGAAGAATATGTGAATTTATATACGCGCGCGCGTGTGTTTTACAAGTTGTTCTATCTATAATTTCGGACAGTACAATTTATTTTATAAAATATTTTAATTGGATAAAAATCATGTTTAATAGTTCTTTGCTATATAATTATTGTTAGATTAACTTGGAAATGGCTCTCCCTTTTTTTTTTATATTTGAGGCTTTATATTCTTTCACTAAGACTAACGTCTATTATTTTTGAGTGGAAAGGAGATAGTTCATATCATTACCGAGAGAAACTATACAGTAAGCAAAACAAATCCAAGGAATTATATCAAAAGACCAATACCTATAAGTTATTACGTTTAATAATTTAATATATATATATATATATATATACTTTCATATGTATCATATAAATTTTGGCCTAAAAATGTCTCATATAAGTTATATAAACAATATAATTTTTGAATAATACAATTCACTTCTCTAATCTAATGCCATGTAAAATATTTAATATGAGCTCCGAGTAGACTCTAGATAAGACCATAGGATTCAATATCTTCCACATACCCATTATCCCCATCCGTCATTGGCCCTGGCAGCAGTCTACCACCTCACAGTTCTGTAGGGTAGGCCTGTTAAGGACACTAGTGCTTTGTTTAGTTTTCAAAATCTATCACTCCATCGTTTTCATGAATAAAATTTTTTTAACTTACTCATAAGATTTAAATGCCCTTTTGAATATATATATATATATATATATCTTCTATTGTTAATTGTAAGGGTTAAGGTATAAATTTATCTCAAAAATTTTATACAAGTACAATTAGTGTCTTAAAGTATTTTGTGGCGCAATGCTATCCTAATTTTTTTTTAAAAAAATAATATACAATTTTCCCTTGAGCTGACGTTAGGAGGGTATTGTGTTAGTTGACTCATCTATGTCTACATGGCATGTACATGCATGCTGCCTCCATGTGACTTTTTCGGGAAAATATCAATTGCGAATCACGGGAGGTATTTTTTTTAATCAAAGAATGAATTTAATTAAGATTATGATTTTTTATTACACCCCCTTAGTTCTTAGCTAAAAATAGTTTTTATGGGAAATAACTTAATTTTCCTTCTTTATGAAAGAAAAAATAACTAAATAGGATTCGTTGTTAATGTTCAAATGCATTATTATCAACCCTAATGACTTGTTGTCTATATAAGGTGAACACTTGTTCTTTTAAACTCGTGTTGTCATTTTTTTCAATATTATTAAAGTCTTAATGTGTTGTCAATCATAAATTAGTTATTGTCAAAATTCAAATAATGTATTGTTTATGCAATGTGAACACTTGTTTCATTAAAAACATACTGTCAATTTTTTACTCTTGTAAAATTTTGAATATAGTGTTGTTAATCATGAATTTGTTGTTATTAAAACTCGAATGATTTGTTATTTATGTAAGGTAAACACTTGTTATATTAAACTGATATTGTCAGTTTTTTAATCTTATTAAATTCTGAATGCATTGTTATTAATTATAAATTAATTATTGTCAAAACTCGAATGACTTGTTATTATGTATGATGAACATTTGTTATTTAAAATTTAGGTGTAATTCAGTCATTTCTCATAAAAATTTATTTTCAGGTAAGGATCAAAGGTTTAGGGAAAAATCAAAAATTTAAACTCCTTTTTTGATATAAAATGTCTCTAATGATATTTTTTCCTGTTTTTTTCCTCTAAAATAAAAGACGTACAACTAAAAAATACGAAAATTAAATGATAATAATAAATTAGGAGAACCATGTCTGAGAATCTCCCAAAAAAATTATTTGTAATGGTCAATATGAAATTATTATTATTAAAATTATAATAGCAAATTTTTTTTTTGAATGATAACTTCTCGTTAACTATTGCTTGTGGTTAATTTTCTTAGGAGGTCTCTAATGTAATTCTCCCTAATAAATTTGAGTGAGTCCCACCTTTACCAATAAATTTCGGCTTCTCCCTCCTTCCACGACGCTTCACCTTTGTCTCCGCATTTGCACCGAGAGCTCGTCAGATTTGAAATCTTGACCTTTTATTTTATTCAGAAATGATATGTGCCATTCATTTAAATTAATTTTTTATTATTTTTAATATTATATTTATTAACATAAAAAATATTCATATTAAATTTGAATTATTTTCAAGCATCATGATACTCATAACTTATGATAAAATATAAACTTTTCAAATATTAAAAAATTTTATTCAAAATAAAAAATTATAAAAATATAAATTTTTTAATAAACCTGTTCATCATTAATTTTATCAGTACAGATTTAATTTGAATGATTTAATTTAATATTAAATTTTTTAAATTTTTATAAATTGACCATATGTTAAACAATTCAAATATAATTTGAACTTGAATAGTCTAATATTTTAATATAAAAAATTTTATAAAAAATTAAAATTTTTGATAATTTTTATATTAATAAATAAAATAATAAAAATATTTAAAATTAATTTATATGAATTCTATAGATTATTTTAGAGTGAGATGAATGGTCAGGATTGGCTCAAAACGGATGAGCAACTTGGTGAGGACTCATCACCTTCGTACCATCGCCATGCATCTTTCTTCTTCATCGGCATTCAGCAGGGACACATCTTCTTCTCTACTTCCGTTTTTTTTTCCCCACCTCCATCATCTTCTTCTTCATACTTCTTGTTGGATTGGGAACATGGCAGTCTCTTTCATCATCTTCTTCTTCATGCTTCTTCTTCACTGGATGTTGAGTGTTATTGGTTTCAATTGCCTCTTGAATAATGGTGTTAGACATAACGTAATTGATTTGAAAGAGGGTTATTGTTGATGGAAAGACACTTGCAACTATTAATACTCTCAATTAAAAAAATTGAAATTAATTAATTGGATTAAAATGAAACCTATGAAGTTAATAGGAAATTAGTGAGTATAAGTAGTTTTATACTTAAGTGGTTGTTGGATTAATAATCTCATTAAATTTTATTAAATTCAATTTTAATTTTTGTTAACCAAGCAATTTCAGTTAGTTTTGGTTAATGAAAATAAAAATAAAAATTCTATTATCTAATTGCTATTTTACTTGATTTCTCGTTGGAATGACCTTCACATAAAAGCTGAACATGTCATGAACCCGTTTTCAAGCTGCAACCAAAGATTGGGGACAAAATATATGGCATATCGATTATGATAGAAAGAAAAAGGGGAAACAAAGAAATTTGAAGATTTGAGAATATTTAAATATTAGGTTTATTTTATTTTATTTTAATTGGTGTGTTAACTACATAATATTTAAATTATTGTTATATATCTTTAGTATTTATTGTTATCTTTATATTTGAATTATTTTTTCTAAGAGATAATATGTTGATTCTATTCCTATGCTTGCTTGATTTGAGAAGTGGAATTATAAGTGATTTTAGCGTTTTTGTCCCTTTTCCCTTGTTAAACGAAAAAAGAGGATAAACTATTGAAATTTAAATATAAACATATCAGAAATTTTGTTGGCAATCTGCTTATATATGCGAAAAAAGTATTGCATTAGTTTAAATTTGAAATAGTGAAAACATGCATTTTAAAGAAATTAGATATATTTTTTTGAATTTTTTAAGGAGAGGAATGAGCCCATACTAGTACAAAATATAATTTTAACCACAATATTTTCTCCACAGTTATAGATTTAATTGTCGTTATAATGAATTCAGTGACAAGACCATTAATTCCAAGTAAAAATTGTGACCTTATAATGACAGGGCTTTGATAAAACTATCATTGTTAATGTTTTCAGCTAATTAAAAAATATTAAATAAAATTTAGAGATAAACTAAAATATTAATTATTATAATGTTTACAATTAATTAATAAAATATTAAAATTAATATATATATCATGACAGTCATTATCTGACCTATCGTTAATGGTGTATAATGTATCAACAATCCTAAATTTATTGTTGTTAATTAATTGTCCAATCCATATAATATTAACATTAATAACAAAATTAATAACTAATATTAATATAAATAATGTAAATATAATATAAGTAATTAAAAATAGTATAATACTAATAATCCAAGGACAAGCCATATAAGGCCTATCGTTATAAACTTATTATGTCCATTTAACAATAGCATTCCACAGACCTTTCATTAATATGTCCATTAATATTTATTTAAATTAGTATAAATATTAATAGATAATGTAATATTCAAAGTCATAATATGAATATTAATTAATGTTAACATAGAAAATAAATAATGATAAGTTTAATATTAATATTAATTAATGTTGTTGTAAAGAACATAAAGATAATATCAATGATATTTATACTAATATTAATATAAATAAGATGAATACCAATTAATGCTATTCATATTTCGAATAATATTTATATTAAATAATATTATATAATTAATAAATAATAGATTACCAATAGATTTAATGAAAAGCTATTGTATTATTAAATTTATCTCTTTTAGCTTTTAGCTTAAGAAAAAAATTAATTAATATATTGAAACACATGTTACAACAGGTTTAATGTAAACCTGTCATTATATTTATTATTAAATTTGTCTTCTTTTCCTTTTAACTCAAGAAAAAAAAAATTAATTAGCATATTGTAATACGTATGATGATAGATTTAATAAAAACTTGTCGTTATACACTAATACAAAATTTAGCAACACAATTTTATTACATTTATACAAAAAACTATGGTAATAATAGATTGGATGGCATATCTATCAATGTTGAATATAAATATAGTTATTATAACATAATAT